GCCATATCCCATTGTGGATGAAGCGGACCCCACGAATGAGTCAAGGGTGCTCTTCGATTAGAGTGGTCATGGGCAGCCTTTGGTGGCCATCAACTCCGTTGAAGAAATGCTTTCGAAAAATCCGAGCACACGACGTTTTCACTCGCTGCTCATCCGGATATTGTACCGTTATGATCACCATTTCATGAAGGCTTAACCTAATTTCTACTGCATTACAAAGTTCATGAAGTCGCTTTCTGTTGTGGATGAAACGCAGTCAGTTGTTAAGAGTATCTGGGTGCAGACCAAGGGCGTTGCAATACCTAATATTTTTTACTAATTTTACGCTTACTATTAGGGAACTGCTGAAGCGCAGGTGGGGTTCTATCGGCAACTAGCGCCGCTTCTCACGGGAGTAGTGAAGAATAGCGATTAAGAATCTGGCGTTAATCATCCTTTTGATATGCGCCACGCATTCCACATCCGTTCAGAATCACACCGATGAGAACACGCTTTGTCCGAAGCAATGAATTGCGGAGCCAGCCGATGCACATTTCAGTGCTTCAGACAAGTCTGGTACCAATTAACCGACCCCGGAAGGGATGGAAGGCTTGGTTGGCCCGGGCGACTCACGACCCAGGATTTGATCCCCGGACCGCGCGCGTGGTAAGCAACGCCACTATGCCACTACACCACCGCCGGTCCGGCACGGTATAGTCTAGAGTGCAGAACGGAAATGATAGGAGAAACATCGGAGCCAAGCATTCCATCTCCATAGCCTCCATAATTGGCACTGGACTTGAGAGATGGAAACAACGGTCTTGTGCCTTGGTTGACAATCACGAGTTTCTGCACAGCTTGTCCACACCTATGTATTTTCCCATACCATCTTCCTCCGTTTATTTCTACCATTTCACTATTTCGTCGATGTCAGTATCTACTGGTCGACTTTTTATGCATTGTAAAAGTTTAGGAAGATGAGAACGTTTGCGACATGCACCGTTTGCCTAAGCGGTCCGTACGAATTGAAAAATTACTACTCTCATCTTCGCACGGTTCATTTTTGGAGTGATGAGGATATGGAAAAGGAAAAATTCAGGATCAGAGAAGCGAAGTTTCCCGAGAAGGACAAATTCCAATGCTCGTTCTGCTCTAAAGTTTACTTTACTCTTCATGGTTTGCGAACTCACATGGAGGTAAGATAAATTTGGATGAAGGCACCAAGTGCAAAGTTAGCAAGTTTTTAAAGTTTTTTAAAGTTTGGAAATTGGAATAAAGAATAGGATTTTAAGAACAAAATGTATAACTAAACATATTATTTCAAATCTTCAAAAGATTTTAATGTAACAACAAATATGTCATATAGTAAACAAACAAACATAATACAATTCATACTTAAATACTTAGAATTACTAAAACAAGTTCAACCAAAAAAGAATTTGTAAAAAGATTGAAGCATACCAAAAAGCATCTTATCGAATTAGGACACATATGGACATAGTAAACTTAGTTAGATCTGTAATAGAAAATGAACAAAACACAACATTACATTTAATTATGCAAAACGTTTGTATTAAAAAGTTTTCC